ATGAGTCGGTAAAAGTCCAACAAAACGATCTGGCACAGTCATGCTTTGTTTGTGGAGTCGTGTATAGTGAACATGACACACACACACACACACACACACACACACACACACACACACACACACACACACACAGAGTGGCCTGTCGTTTCACAATCCATAAGCTATAACTTGCTGACCTGTTATCGTATCTTTCCAACGAGTAGGACAACAGGTGATAGAGGTTCGCATGAATACAGATGCAATGTGTAATTGTGTGGCTCGAATTGAATTGCTGCATGCAATTCTCTGTCCATCTCCTGTGAACCTGTTTTCCATTAAAACCGCAGAATAAAACAAGTGCTTGCAGAGCAGAAAAAGAATGAAATGAAGGGAAAAAACAATGCAATGAACAAGCCGAGCGAAGGGAAGCGGGTAGGGAGGGGGCGGAAAGGGAGAGAGAGAGAGAGAGAGAGAGAAAGAGACAGAGATTCAAACGGAGAGACAACGAGAGAAAAGACCGACATAGAGATAGAGGGGAGAGAAAAAAAGGGTGAAAAACGGAGGGAGAGAGAGGGAGAAAAAGAGAGAGAGAGAGAGGAGATGATGGTTTCCACCCAATCTAGACCCACTTCACGCACAATGTCTTAAGAGACTAGTTCAATCCCCCACAGATGCCATTGCGAAATTATGATACGAGGAGAGCAGACACAGCCAGAGACCGATACATAGAGACACAGAGAGAGAGAGAGAGAGAAAGAGAGAGGGAGAGAGAGGGATAACGGCTTCCACACCAATCTCATACCTGGTCAAATCCTTTGCGCAGGGCCACTTCCCGCACAATCTGTCTGAAGAGACCGGTTCGATCCCTCACAGATGCCGTCATTTTGCAACTCCAACGAACCTGTCCGCCTCATTCGGCCAACATAGAGTTGAACAGAACAGGCAACAAGGAGGGAAGGATGGACAATGCCCTGAGCTGCAGGCACCTTCTGCCATACCAAGAAACGGACACCACACACGGTGCAGAGATCTCGTTAGTAAAACTTCATAAGAACACAAGCAAAGCCGGTGCGGCTACGCCCGCACACCTGGAAATGTCAATTGACATATTGACATATTGACATATTGACGTATTCGGGGTCTACATAAGTATTCATCTACAGATCTCATTCTCTCTCTCTCTCTCTCTCACACACACACACACACACACACACACACACACACACACACACACACACACACACACACACGCTCGCGAGCGCAAAAAAATTTACTAGTAATTGTCCAGTAACAGCCAATTGCTGACGCAGAAGACAGGAAAATGATACGACGTACAGGATAATGATACCACCCACCTTTACACCCAAAGGAAAAGGCTCTGACTTCTGTCTCATTCTCTCTTTTTCGCTTGGAACAGTGAATTACTACAGCAGGCCCCAAGGTCACAGCTATAGCAAAAAGAGCTACAATACAGACAAAAAATACGGATCCTCCTTCTCTTCTCTTCTCTCTCTCTCTCTCTCTCTCTCTCTCTCTCTCTCTCTCTCTCTCTCTCTTTCTTTTCCCCCCCTCCGCCCCCCCCCCAAGGATTGAATCTTATTCTTTCAGAAGCAAACGATTGAATCTTATTCTTTTAGATGCGAAGGGTTTAATCTCTCTTTTTTTTTTCCTTCTTGTCGATGAACCTAACTTTTCTCGATGCCAGGGGCTGAATATTTCGTTTCTTTTTTTACTGTTTCATTGGATGTCCCGTATTCTGTTTTTTTTTTTAAATGACCACCACATGGTGAGACTAAATCTCTCTCGGCTCTTCAAGTTCCCAATCTCAAGAGAGAAGGCGAGCAAGAAACACCCCTTTCTCTCCCTGCACACTGTGTGAGAGAGAGAGACACAGAGAGAGAGAGAGAGACATGCAGTGAGAGAGAGAGAGACATGCCGTGAGAGAGAGAAAGACGAAAGGAAGAATACTGCTGGAGAAACATTTTGAACGACGTCTACTTTGTGTGGAACAGAGTGCAATGATTGATTCGAGTAAGATGTGTGTCGCATGCCGATGGATTAATTAAATCAATCAATACTCGATCCTGGCCGCGAGTACTCGAAAACAGTAGCCGAAAAATCAGCCAATGACCGCTCGTTGTTAACTGACGACCGGTCATTGTTAACCGAGATTAATTAGTAATAATTAAATAATCCAACGACTTTAATCAGTTCATTTAGTATTAAGATCATTGAGATGCGATCATCGATTCTGCATTTGATTTGGTGTTGGCGTCACCAACGCCACACGCGCGAGATATGAAAGGAGGACAGATGCAACCGCCCTGGCAACGTACCCAAGAGCAGAATAGAGATTGAAATATACAGAAGAAGGCTGTTTGTGAAAACAGCTGGAGATATCAGAAGTGAGAATGCTGACATGAGTAACAAAAAATCAGGTGAAAAACATGATCGCCGAAAGTTCAAGGGTTTCTGCGTTCAGTCAATCTACGCTGAGTGAATCGGTCCCTAAGGAAACCCCGAAAGGCGGCGCCCATGGGTACTAGAAAGTGACGAAATTTGAATTAAGCTAGCGCTACTGAACAAAACAAAATTGGATGATTGGACAGGGCCTCAATTTCTGGGAAAAAACTTCTAGAATCAATTGTAGATTGAACCGTACCCCAAACCGACACAGGTGAACAAGTATATATTGTCACATTGTGAATCAGAGCGCACAAAAGGGGAAAGAAAAAAGGAAAAGGAAAAAAGGGGAAGGGGAAGAGGTAAGGAAAGCTCCACCTGTTCATAACCTCTTACGTACAAGGCCAGCCACGTGGATGACAGGTTGAGCGCTGGCTGCCCCCATCCCCGTGTGTCACAAGGACCCACTTGCACGCAGCCAAAAGGCAAAGAGGTAAAGAAAGGGAGGAGGAAACCAAACCTGACAGGGAAAGAAAGATAGGGAAAGAAAGATAATCCAGTTATCACAAAGCAAATATTTTTTTCTTTTTTTCTCTTTTTCTTTTCTTCTTTTTTTCTTTACCTGCCCCCACCTCGGCAGATAGGACAGCTACGGTGAGGATGATGTGGATGTTCACAAGGATGCCCAAGGAGAGCTGCGCCAGCACAGCATTCTGCAGGACGGCTAGCACGAACCATCCCATCAAAACAGTCCTGGCATATATATATCGTATATATCGTCACAAACAGAGCTGCCCGGTAAACCGTAGGCAGAGAGAGAGAAGAGGACAACAAACGAGGGGCTGTGACAAACTGTTTCGTCGGAGTTTCACCGACTATATCGTATATATCGTCACAAACAGAACTGCCCGGTACACCGTAGGCAGAGAGAGAGAGAAGAGGACAACAAACGAGGGGCTGTGACAAACTGTTTCGTCGGAGTTTCACCGACTCATCATATATTGTCCCGTTATTCGGTCTAAGCTGGTTGCGGTGCTTCATGTGGGACCAGTCATCCGGGGCTTTTGACAGTAATTGTTTTGGCATCCTGGTTGGTTGTTTCCCGTTGTTCGGCCTTTTGGAACGCGGGGCGGTGCTTGCATGTGGGAATCGTTATCCAGGATTGTTTTTTATACCGGCCCTCCGGGTTCTTTTTGATTTTTTTGCAGACAAGAATGTTTGACATCCTGGTTGGTCTTGGGCCGTCGTTTGGCCTGTGTGTGTTGGGGCGGTGCTTGCATGTGGGACTCGTCATCTGGGATCTGTTTTGTTGCCCCCTGTTCTGTATTATTTGGCTGTTCCCTTCCTCTTTTCTTTGCCTCTTTGCCTTTTCGCTGTGTGCAAGTGGGTCGATATGACACACGGGGGTGGGGGCAGCCGCCCTTCCTCTTTTCTTTGACTCTTTGCCTTTTGGCTGTGTGCAAGTGGGTCGATATGACACACGGGGGTGGGGGCAGCCGCCGCTCAACCTACATCCACGGGGGCGGCCTTGTACGCAAGAGGTTCTGAGCAGGGGGAGTTGTAAGGAAGAAGATAAAAAACGAATTCATTCTTTTCTTTTTTTTCTTGTTTGTTTTTCGCTTTGGCGCTCTGATATCATGTGACAATATATATTGTCACAATACATATATTGTCTCAAAAAAAATCAGAGCGCAAATGCGACAAAAGAGAAAGAAAAAAAGGAAGAAAAACAGGAAAAAATGAATTCAGTTTTTTATCTTCTTCCTTATAACTCCCCCTGTTCAGAACCTCTTGCGTACAAGGCCGCCCACGTGGATGTAGGTTGAGCGGCGGCTGCCCCCACCCCCGTGTGTCATATCGACCCACTTGCACACAGCCAAAAGGCAAAGAGGCAAAGAAAAGAGGAAGGGAACAGCCAAATAATACCGAACAGGGGGCAACAAAACAGATAATGTCACAATATATATTGTCACACTGTACATATATTGTCACACTGTATATATATTGTCACATGATATATATTTTATATATATTGTCACACTGAATCAGAGCGCGAAGGAGAAAAAAAGCAAAACAAGGAAAGGAAAAGAAGGAAAGCCCCGCCTGTTCATCACCTCTTACGTACAAGGCCAGCCACGTGGATGACAGGTTGAGCGCTGGCTGCCCCCATCCCCGTGTGTCACAAGTACCCACTTGCACGCAGCCAAAAGGCAAAAAAAAGGTAAAGGAAAGGAGGAGGAAACCAGACCTCACAGAGGCAAGAGAAAGAGAGAAAGGGATCCGATCAAAGAAAAGACAAGGGAAGAAAGCAAATGACACATCCCACAGATAAACCAATCGCCACTGTCACTACAAAGTTCAACATATTCATTCATTTAATTCTTTCTTTTATCTTGTTTTCTTTTTTCTTTCTTCAGAAATTTTTACTTTTTCTTTCTTTCTTTTTTTTTCCTTCTTTCTTCAACTCCACATCTGTTGCTCCTGATCCCTCTTGATTCTATTGGGTGTAGTAATATCACACAGTCAATATTTCCTCATCTTTTTTTTTTCTTCTTTTTTATAACATTTAGAACCATCTACGGCGGGACTCGTGGTGATGACGGGCGCGCCACCATGAAGAGAAGACAGTGGCCAGAAGATTACTATCCCACTGGGATCTCTCTTTGCCCTGTCCCTCTCGCCATCTCCTTCTCTATCACTCTACCCGCTCTCCTGCTATTCTCCACTCTCTCCATCCTCTCTCCCCCGCTCTCGGAAGTGCGTCCGGTCATTAACAATCGTCAAATGCCCTCCCTC